TGTGAAACCTGCCTCCCTTCGCGGTTCGAAGGAATTGTTTGTAGAGTTCAGGGTCTAGGTGGATGCAGTCGCCCAATGCGCGGTCTTGACGGGTGATTGAGACGTCGTGTTCTAACGCATGAGGACGACCGACTTGATCGAGGTTGAGGACGGGGATCTCGTCTTTATTCACTTGGCCAGGATCGCGTAGCCCAACGTTGGAGCTTCCTGGTGGTCCGTGTTTTGGGTCGTCGGAGTGGACTTGGAAGACGCGGCTTACGAGAACAGAGGCTACGTCTAAGCCTAATCCGACATATCGAATGGCTGATTTCAGCTCTGCAGCGGTGATGGATTTCCCGTCGCGTGCGATATAGCCATGGTTGGCAAGGGAGTTAAGGACCGGACATGGAGAGCGTAGATCGTCTGGTCCTGCGGGATGGTACTGGCCCTTCTGGAGCTCCATTTTCAAGGATGAAGAGCGAAGGATGAAAGGAATTAGACAGCATGCTTGCTTTCTATATGCATCATCATGACGGGAGGGGCCTGGAATGGTCAGCCTAGGCTGGGGAACGGGTGACTGCGGCGCCTCGATCACGAGCATCGCGGCCCCCTGAAATACGACCTCCTTCAAGCCAGGATTACATTCACGCATCAACCCTGGCAATCCAGTCAAGGTCAGCTGGGTCTATTATACACTCATCTATGGTAACATCTGTTGTTGAAGAACCCCAGCAGGTATCTTCAGGTGCATCTATCCACAAACTCTTCCAGCATCTTGTTCAGCTCGTGCTCCCTCTCCCAGCCCAGCATATGGCCGCTGCCTTCGAAGACCTTCCATTGGATCCCATCACCGATCTCCTCGCGTATTATTTCCCCATGACGGAACGTCAGCATCAAGTCTCTAGTGCCATGGCACACGAAGATCCGCTCCCTCCCCACTTGATCTCCCAGAGATTTGAGCTGCTCCGCTGACTTGTGATGGAAATAGCAAGCCAACACCTGCATCATGAATCCTTTCTTCGTATGCGCTTCGGTGTCCGCACGCTTATGCAGCATACCAGCAGCGAACCGATCACGCTTGGTCGGAAAGTTCATCGCTGGGTCCTCGTACTCTGTATCTGGTTCGGCCAGGAAGTCCTCGGGGAAGAGACTCCTTGCCATCCTCTCGAGCTCTATGTCAACATGGCGGGGAATGAACATGCCCGCCCGTTCACGCAAGTTTTCGAAGAATGGACCTGTCCGAACCAATCGCGGAGCAGTACAGCAGAGGGTCAGGCTCAATAAGCGATCGGGAATGAGCATTCCAATCTCTTGGGCGATCATGCCACCCATGCTAGCACCGATGACATGAATCGATCGGTTCGGAGGAGCAGCAAGATCGATCCAGCCCAGCGAGGCGACCAGGTCTACCACATCTCGAGCCATCTCGGATGTGGAGTAATAGGCGACCGGTTTATCCGACCGACCAACTCCACGGTTGTCAAAGACTAGACATGAATATTTAGAAGCGTGCTGGTGACCAAAGTATTTGGTCTGACGCCTCCAGTCCTTCAGCGTTGCATTCAGACCCATTACCCACTGCGATCCATGTCAGTACTACCGGCACATTGGGGGTCATGGAATATGCTCATACTTACCACGAGCTTCACGGGGCCATTGCCATGGATCTCATAGTTGATGTTCAAGGGCCCTCCTCGCCTGTTTTGCGCCACGGTACATGATCCAGAGGTTGTGGCGGGGAGGTCATAATTGATGGTGTTGTATGCGGAATGCTTGATGACTTCCTCGGCAAGGAGTGGCGCCATGTCTTCTAATTTTATTAGAGGTCTAAACTTGAAGAAGAGTTGTGATCTAGGAAAGGTGACCAGAGGATATGGGCGTGGACCATGTCAAAACCGGGCAGCTCCTCACATGCCGTTTTTCCTTTTTCTTGGCAGGAGTCATCCGAGGCCGCCGTGTGATCCATTCTGTTCCTGTCGATGATCTCACTTCACGCTTTTGGGTTGCTTGTGTTACCCATCAGCTGACTGGCGTCATCCTCGATGAGGATATATGTGCGGGGGATTTCTTTCACTAATCATCCATACATTTCAATCCATTGCATCTGTATGGCTGGATTGAGGTAACTGCGACGATGGCAGACTCCCTTCTATGGCATTGACGCGCGATACTCAACTTCTAAGAATGTCAACTAGGGAACTAGCCAAACCAAATAGAATTAGCAACCTTCAATTACAATTTGAACCATATTATTCATTCGTTCATCCCAACTACTAGCACCGTAGTGATGAATAATGAGTAGACAGTGCAGCGGAGATGTTCAAATTTCGTAACGTTATCACAGCTTATCAGTCCATCTTCGACTCCAACACCATGCGGGGATGTCACTGACCCACCATCTCCAACCCGACAATTGCTTAATATCCCCTCTACTCCCTAATATCCCCACGAAGCAGTAAGAAGAAAAAAACACAATTATCCCAGACCACAATGGCACCAACTCGCCGCGTCGCCGTTATTCAATGGAACATCAAAGTACGCAGTACCTCTTCCCCACCCCGAATCACCCCTCAGTCTAACAACCCCAGGACCTCGCCATCGACGAGAACCACCAAACAGCATGCACCCACATCCGTGATGCCGCATCCCAAGGCGCTGAACTGGCCGTTCTCCCAGAGTACTACACTCCCTCCCTCCCTCCCTTCTCAAATACACACACTCACAAATCCCAAAACCTAGATACCACCTAACCGGCTGGGCCCCCTCCAACCCAACCTGGACTGCCCTCGCCTCCAAAACAACCCCCTACCTCGAAGCATACCAATCTCTTGCCCGTGAACTCAACATCTGCATTGTCCCCGGCACCATCGTCGAACACCATGGCCCTTCCCCGACACAACAACAACAACAACAACAACCGCTCCTCTACAACACCGCCTACTTCATCTCCAACGACGGGAGTATCCTCGGCCACTACCGCAAGAAGAACATCTGGCATCCTGAACGGCCCTATCTCACCTCTTCGGGAAGCGATCCGCACGAAGTGTTCGATACGCCGATCGGCAAGGTAGGGTTACTTATTTGCTGGGATTTGGCGTTTCCGGAGGCCTTCCGAGAATTGATTTGTAAGGGGGCGGAGATTGTGGTTATACCTACTTATTGTAAGACCCGATCCAATCCATCTTCCCGTCTCGATTTTGAGATAGTTCTTCTATATGCTGATTGATCTACGAAAATGAATAGGGAGCAAATACGACGCCTCCCCCGCTGCGCTTCAACACAACCCCAACTCCGAAGCTTTATTCCTTGAAAGCACGCTCACGGCGCGATGCTTCGAGAATACCTGCGGGATTATCTTCGCTAATGTGGCGAGGGGAAAGGAAGACGAGAGTGATCGTTTCTTGGGTCTGTCGAGGGTATGTTTGCCCATTGTGGGGACGGTGGGTGCTATGGGGGATGAGGAGGGCGTGATGGTGGTGGATATGGATATGGGGGTGGTGAGGATTGCCGAGGAGAATTATCGGGTTAGGGAGGATTTGGCTAAAGAGGGGTGGTATTATACGTATAGGCATCAGAGGTAAATATTATTAAAGTAGTAGACTGGGATTAAACAAGGATATATAGGTATTCGAGCTAGTGTAAGACATCCTAGTAGCGATTTGTCAGAGACCAGTGAGCTGAGAGGGATATGGCTGACTTACTAGTACTTACCTTGGTGCCATGCCACGCCAGGCCAGTATTACGTCGATACAAGTGTGATAGTATTATTAGTATTGGTAGGTGGAAACATTGAGCTTCTGGTTCACATCATTCTACCCCGTCCACACTGTCAAATCGTGTGCACCGCTATTTCTGTAACCCCGGTTGATGCACACCGGTTGCTAGAACTTCGAGGCGTTGTTGCGGAACATCATCTCAATTTGTGGGAGTGAGGGTTCACTTGGTAGTTGGTGTATATACTAGTGTAATGAGGATTGAGCTAGAGAATTCGTGGCTATGACTAATGGAAAGGGGGGAGACAGTGGTATTGAGAGAGAGAGGATACCGAAGATGAAGTAGAAAGTCAAGCCCTCAGCACCCAGGAGAGCGAAGTGGGAAGATTATCTACCCCTCCCTTTATCTCATTCACTTCATCTTTGTCTCATTTATCACTCTCAAGGCCATCATAGTGCATCGTACGCTAAGATAGCTTCACGGCGTAGCACTAACCTCTGTATATCCAACTAAGTTTCTAATACTTCACCTACAGCGCATCATCGTGGGAAACTTATGGTTAGTAGCTTTCCTACGGCTTCAAACCCCGTTCCTTTGATGGATATCTCGTTGTTCACGCAGGTGCCAGTGGCAAGTCCCGGCATTGTGTGTCTCACTCACAGTATCTACTGTAACAGTCCAATTGAATCAATCGATATTTCCACTAGATATCACAATTGCACAGAAGATGACTAGGATGATGGATGAGGAATCAACAATGCTTATTGGTCTATAATGAATACATTCATAACTGTGAATGAATGGGATCCACTGCGTTACACGCTAGAGCTGATCTAGTATAGTCTGCAGTGCAGTGCCCGATAACCTGCTGTCACATCAATCATACCGAGTGAATGAGTATAGAGAAACAGTCCAAGTATCCATTAGATTCATTGTTGGGTGAACTAATTCTTATTGGGCTTGTTTCATGACTACTCTATATTGATTGTACTAAGAATCGCCGCACAGCACTACTATACATCATGGCACTGACTGCTAAGCTGCAACCGTCTGAATTCTAAAAGGGGAAAAAAACCACAATCATCCACAATCATTAGGCGATACAAATTCGTGAAAATCTTGGTCAAACCTGTCGTCCAGTCTTACCACTTGCGGCCGTGGAACCCTGGCATCAGAAGAAAGTATAAACATAAGGCATAAACCCCTCCGAGACAGAACCCCCATAACACAGGCCCCAGCATGATATCACTGAACGGGAACGCAACCGGGTGTATAGATCAAAACTAACCATCCAACAACGCCGTCCCTTATTGAACCTGGCTGACGATCTCGCTGGCCCGGGAAAGGCTCTCCACCATCTGCTGGCACTCTTTCCGCCGGCGGACCGTGTAGTCGCTTTCCTTCAGCAGGTCGTCCAGCTCGCTGTTGCGGTACATGTTCTCGAGGAGCTCGCGCTGCATCTCGTCCTTGGTGAACCTGGAAAATGGTTAGCGGTGGTTGTGCGGACAAGGCGTAGGATACATACTGGACGAGAGTGTACATGATGGCCTTGGGCACCATATCAATCATAGTCCGCTTCACAATGTTGAAGTACGAGGTAATCAGGAGCTCTGTTGATCATTAGTATCCAATCTCTATCGAGCAGTTGCGCTGCACTTACTGACGACCTCAACCTCCACGCTCTCCCGCTCCGACAAAGAGGCAGACGCCTTCAAGGTCGGCGGTGGCGGCTCCATGGCAGCCATCTTCTTCTTGTTCTTCGAAGCCCAGAAGCTGCCGAAGAACCCACCGGAGTTGCTGTTGTCCACAGGAACCTCAACCGACGGGCTGTTCGCCCGCGGGGGCAGAGGCTTGCCAGTCTTGGGGTCCACTTGAGTCGGCTTGCCTGCGGTTTGACGCTCGTTGACGATAGTCATAGCCTGTTCAATCAGTACATCGTAGGTATCATAGGATGCCAGTGGGACTTACGCGGTGTCCGTTCAGGAAATCAGGGTGACCCGTGTTGATGTAGCATGCCTCCATGTTAACCAGGTCACGCACAAGCTTGTTGGTCGGCTCCATGGACTTCTTGAAGAAGCCAATAACAACCGCGTGGAACTTCTCCTTCAGCATGGGGTACCGCCGGAACAGCGACTTGTTCAGGAGTTGACCCAGGATGCGGACAAGTTCGTCGTAGACCAGCGAGATACACTTCAAGCTGGGGTCCTCCAGGCGCTTGATCTGCTGCTTCACGATCAATTCAAAAGCAGTGGTGCCCACAAACAATGCCGGTGAGGGACCAGACGAGTTGTAGAGGATGGTGCGAATATCAATGTCCTTCACATGGTCGAATGGGTCGACGGCCTTGATACCGTTGGAGTAGAGCTCATGGAACACGAAGCTGATACGCGCACCGCCGGACAGCTCGATACTGGACAGCTCCTGGTTGCTTCCCTCCAACACTGTGCGGTACTCGTTGCTGAACTCCGTGATGATGTTGAGGACGATATTAGCACTGTTTCCGAGCATCGAGTCACCCAGCTGTGACAGTTCCGAGGAGTACTTCTGAAGGGAGGACGAAATGCGCGCTTTGATATCGGGAAGGGTTTGCTTAATGTGCATCATAAGGATCTACAAACGTCAGTTCCAGTTCTCAGACCACAGTGTCAGAAAAACGTACCAGGTTCAGTTTCCTGGCGAGATAAGGAGTTCCGCAGTACGAAGACTTGTTGCGATAAGCCTTGTGACCCTCGAAGAAGTTCTTCTCGTGCTCCAGGGCATATGCGATAGGCCGCTTGTTCTCAATGTCACGCTGACCACGGTTGACGACCGGAACATAACCCAGACGCAGAGGGATAATCCTGCCCGCAAGAATATCCACAACATCGGTACCCTCATCCATCAAATCGACCTTGGTCAACACACCGATCGTGCGTTGACCCTCCGGGTCGACCTCCCGCGCCAACTTCAGACCATCCGAGTTGGCCAGATCCTGGTTGGCGGAAGTGACGGCCAGGATGATTGCGTTCGGCTTGCTGATGTACTTCAAAACCATGTCACGGATCTGACGCTCGATATCCTTGGGCTGGTCACCCACGGGGACCTTGGTCAAACCGGGCAAGTCGACGAGTGTGAGAGTCAAGACATTAGGCGAGTAGATTCGCAGGTTGATAGGAGCGGGCGAGATACCGGCATTGCGACCGACCTTGGACTCGGTTTCGCGCACAATCTCCTCGCGGATCTTGTTGAAATCGTAGAACTTCTGACCGGGGATATGAAGAAACTCGCCGTATTCGTCAATGTTGGCCTCCTTATCCGTCGTCTCCAGGGCCTCCTCCTTCACACCGTTTGTTTGCGAACCAGCGGGCCTGTTGATAAGTTGCAGTACGAGGGGTCTCCGAGTGACAATTCCAGAACCACGAGGCAGGCTAGGCAACGACAAGAACGCCGGTTAGGCTGCTGCGACCAGACAAGAAACGAAGGGACCATGTCAACCACTTACAAATCCCGGCCAACGATGTTCTCTAGAACGGAACTCTTTCCACTGGACTGCGAACCGACGACGGCAATCTGAGGCAGATCGATGGGGTTTTGAACCTAAATGAAACAGGCGGTGTCAGTTCGGCGGAGGGGCTGCGATGCAGGAGAGCTCCACGGGAGGGGATGACTTACTCCGACCGTCGCAAAGACATCCTGCAGCTTGTTCACCAGCGAGATCAAGCTGGGATCGTTGACGTTTATCCTGCGGGCACGATGAGGTCAGCCAGGCGAATCGGAGGTACAAGCATGAGAAGGACTAGGGGGTTGCGCACGAGAAGCCAGTAGTTGGGCTTGCCATGGCTGGCAACGAGGAATAGGGGATGGACGCTCCAGGTTAATAAAAGCAGTAAATATAGAAGAAAGAAAGCAACAGTCTAGACAATGTCCGTAGAGCGATTGTCTGTTTAGGGGGCTGTAGACCAGAATGGGTGGAGGATGTTTGGGGGGGTGGATTGAAAGGGAAGAGGGAGAGCGAAGGCGGGAAGGGCCAAGTGGAGAGTTTCGCTTCGGTCCAGATCAGAGCAATCGATAGCAGCGATACGGCGGCCTGCACTGCCTGACTGCCTGCCAAAACGATAACTAGACGTTTACCCACCGAACCGGGACCCTGACAGTGGCAAATGGAAGTGCGACAAACGGGCTCCCGACTGTGGATGGAGGTATCCGATGGACCACCCATTGGGAATCCCTACAAAGTGAGCGAATGGGCAAGGCCGCGTCATGTGGATTTGGCCACCCAAAAGCGGCCAGACAATGTCTACTTTCAGCAAATGACTGAATGATGCTGCCTGACTGACTCACGCACAACATTACTTAAGTTGATTGTGACTTTCCATGAATGGAAGCTTCTCGAAAACGGAAATTCTTCAAGGCAACGGCAATAACTACATATACTGGGAATTTGCTATGCTACAAGCTCGGGAATATAAAATAGACAGCACGCCTCCCCGGTCTAGCCCGGTGAATATGTCCTCCTCTACTCATCCGACACCGAAGCAAACCGCTCCGACATTTGCTGGAGGATCTTCTCGTACTGCAACAGAGTTAGAATACACATTACTAAAGAACGGAGGCATCTGGCTTACCTTCTCGGAGACTTCCGCCTCGTTGGTCGGCACCTCGAACTTCATGCCCCGGAGAGAGCTCTGAATGTCGGTGGTGGCGTCACGAACCTTAGACCAGTTCTGGCCCTGGGCAACCGCCTTCTGGGCTTCATCGTGGTAGCCCATGAACGCCTTCATCATGTACTCGGTCTTCCACAGCGGGCAGAACTGATCGTAGTCACTGTAACCGTTCTGCTGCAGGAAGTCGTCCTTGACCATGGCAGCCACATCCAGAGTGATCTTGTCAGAGTCACCCAGAGCGGCCTTACCAACCAGCTGCACGACCTGGTCCAAATCCTCCGACTTGGTCAGAAGCTCTCTGACCTGGTCACGCAGGCGAGGGAACTCGGGGTGATGCTTTTCGTAGTACCGGTCCAGAACCGTCGTGTACTTGCTGTAAGAGATCGACGTGTTGATCGACGGGAAATGTTTACGTTGAGCCAACTTCTTGTCCAGACCCCAGAACACCTGGACAATACCCAGGGTACTACTGGTGACGGGATCCGAGAAGTCACCACCCGGAGGGCTGACGGCAGCGACAATACTGACACTACCAATTCTCTCGGGGCTACCCAAAGCGTTACTCTTACCGGCACGCTCGTAGAAGGAAGCCAGCTTGGCACCCAGGTAGGCAGGGAAACCCTGGTCAGCCGGCATCTCTCCCAGACGACCGGAAATTTCACGAAGAGCCTCAGCCCAGCGGGAACTGGAGTCTGCCATCATAGCCACGTTCTTGCCCTGGTCACGGAAGTATTCAGCGATCGTAATACCGGTGTAGATGGACGCCTCACGGGCGGCGACAGGCATGTTGGAGGTGTTGGCGATCAGGCAGGTACGCTTCATAATGGGTTCTTTGCGGCCATCAACGTCAATAGAAAGCTATTGTTGCGATCGCTCGTTAGTCACTAGATGCTTGTTGTAGAGGGGATACTAACTTCGGGGAAATCCATCAACACTTCAGCCATCTCGTTACCACGCTCACCACAACCGACGTAGACAATGATATCACTGTTGGAGAACTTGGAGACACTCTGGGAGATGACAGTCTTTCCACATCCGAAGGCACCAGGAATACAGACAGTACCACCCTGAACACTGGGGAACAGGGAGTCCAGCACTCGCTGACCGACGATGAAAGGTGCGTCCGACGAGAGCTTCTCGTTGACCGGTCTGGGCACACGGACAGGCCAGGTGTGCATCATGCTGTGTTCCGTCTTGACTCCATTGAACTCGATTTCCAGCAACTTCTCCTCGACAGTGTAGCTTCCCGCCTCGGCTATGCGGGTGATGGTACCCCTCGCGCGGGGAGGGAGGATGATCTTGTGGTCGTTCACCAAGCTGTTCTCGAAAACGGTACCCCAGATGTCACCACCGGTGATGTGATCGCCGACCTTGTACTTGCCGGGCTTGAAGTCCCACTTCTTCTCACGATCCAGGGCGTTAACCGCGATACCACGGGGGATGTAGATACCCTTGGACTGGTCGGAGATCGCCTTCAGGGGCCGTTGAATACCATCGTAGATCGTTTCCATCAAACCGGGGCCCAGCTCGACCGAAAGGGGCTTTCCTGTCCGTGTAACGGGGTCGCCGACCGTCAAACCAGCTAGAAAAAGTGGCAGTTAGACAGGGATGTTGTGGGGAGGCCGGAGGGGTTGGCGGATGTACCTGTCTCCTCGTAGACCTGAATGGTGGCCTTATCGCCATCGATCCGAATGACTTCTCCGACCAGCTGGTCATGACCGACACGGCACTACAGTCGATGCCCGGTGTTAGCGATTAAGAGTTGCAGATGCGTAAACCTAGAAGCGCAGTATCTGGCGACGGGAAAACACATGGGAAGCATACCAGTTCGTACATGGCACAGCCGATCATATGCTCGGCCACGACGACGGGACCGGAGACGGAGAAGACGGAACCATGTTGGCTCTCGCCAGCATCAGCGGAGGGGGCCATGGTGCGTGAAGCAGGGAGGTGAATGACAGGAGTGGACAGCGCGGGGGAGGGGGAGGGATGGATGGGGGAAGGAGGAGAAGAAGAGGAGGAGGAGCTGTCGCTGCAGGATGATGAAGTGGGCGACACGGGGAGCGGTGGCAGTTGCGGGCTGTCTAGTCCAGGCGGTGATGACGACCTCGAACCGACTGGCTGTTCGTCTCCTTCGTGATGCGCAATCAAATCAAGCAGCGAGGGGCGTGCTTTGAGTCGTCGCACACCTAATCCTAGCATTCGCTCGGAAAAATCATAATATTAATACAATATCTAGAAGATTGACAATCCGGAGACATCAACTACTAGTGGCCCCTGATGAGCGATTGGCCGTGTGGTCCTTGCGGTGTTGCGTGTTTACTCAGCCCGCCTTATCAAACCGGTGCCGCTTGCTTCTTGGTCTCTCCACATCAAATGTTAAGCCACCAGCCATCATCATGTCCACCTCTCTACTACATAGTAATTTGGGTGGGAAGCCCATAGTAACTGCTTCTGGGAACTCTTCAGTGGTTGTTGGGAGTTTGTTAGCTAACAAGAGGCTGCTTTCCATCGAAAAAGACTTCTGACGATGGGAGCTTCATACCCATCTCTAAGTCGCTACACCGAACGCCCAAGTTGCCCATCCCAAGGACTTCTCTACTCTCTGCGAAGCGAACTTTCCGTAGAACCATACGCTTTCACCAACAGTAGACTATTCCACATGCCACCCCTCGCGCATTCGAAGCCTCTTACGTCGTCTGCTTGCCTGACAAGCCATTGACAGGTTTCCGTTTTGATCCCATGGAAACTGCCCTCTATGGACCATTCTATTCGCCCGGTGCTAAATTTCATCGGAGGATCGAAGAATCCGTCCCTGATACAAGTAGAAGACAAGTGACGTGATGGCACTTCGCCAGATGTAGGCGAAAGATTTCAGGACACGCATGTTCCATCATCCATCCTTCTTGCCCCAGTTATTTGTCCCTTCTCCGACGCCTCGTAGGTGCGAATTGACATAATGGATTCATCAAAAATCTACACCTATTGGGACCATACGTTCGCATGGACGCCCCTTCATCAGACGAGGGAACAGTTGCGTTCAAAGATGCACACTTATGACAGGCTTGGGGATAAATGTATCGACCAGATCAACGATATCGGCCGTCAGGTAGTTAATCAAGACAGGCAAAATGATCCAGACAGGAAGTTACCCGATCTGGATGTGTACATTATGCTGAGGGATCACGCAAAAGATGATCGGAAGCTTAGTGAACTCTGGGTACAAGTCAACACAGTGCCGGACTGGGTTGATTGGCAGCAGATCAAACGGGGACAGGAGGTGTTCTTCCGTTATGGGCTTCCCATTCTGAACGTGGTAAGTCTAGCATCTAATCTAGTGACAACTCCAAGCATAAGGACTGATAAATGCCAGCTGAACTTTGAAAGCCTCTTGGGCGGCATGTTAGTCACTCTGCAGAAAGTTCCACCAGGCTTCGGCTTATTCCTACTTAGGGGCTCACCAAGTGTTGTTAAGGCCTTAACCTTATGTGGAGGCTTCAACAATATATATGTCGTGCGGAAGAGACTACTGGAGACCCTACAGTTTATCCTCCAAGTCTCTGAATCCGTTGGCGCAATGAAGCCAGGCGGTGTTGGTAATATCTCATGCATCCGCGTTCGGCTGCTGCATGCTTATCTTCGCTCCTTGATTTGTGTTCGGGAAAGGTATGACAATGAGAGGTACGGAGTCCCTATAAACGACCTTGACAGCCTTGCAACAATTAGCAGTTTCTCGTCCATCATCATCTGGCTTGGCCTCCCCCGGCAAGGTATCTGGCTCCGCAAGCAAGAGATAGACGACTACCTAGCTCTCTGGAGGCTGGTAGCCTACTACCTAGGTGTCCCAGACGAACCTTTTGCTAGCCAGCAAACCGCACGAGCGCTAATGGAATCTCTCCTTGTATCGGAGGTGGATCCTATAAACATTGGTAGAGTCCTAGCTCGTAATATACTCAACGGCCTGGAGAACAAAGCCCCAGCGCATGCGTCAATGGGATTCATGGAGGCTATGGTTCGACTTCTGAATGGGAAGCAACTCTCTGACAGCCTTCAAATCCCTCAACCCACACTGTACTATCGGGTTCTGATATACGGGTACTGCTTCTTTGTCATGGCGTTAGCATATGGTACCCGGTTGTTTCCGAAGCTCGATCAGAGGTTTATCGCGGTACGTCTGTTCTCTCGTGGTGTGATCATTAGCGTGTGCACTGACTTGGGGCAGTATCGTCGTCGATACTATTACACCATGATAACCGATCGAGAGAAAGGGCTTGGAGGCGAGTCGCTCTTTGACTTTGTATACAAGCCATCTCATGCAGGGCTGCTCTATAAAGCAGTGACGGTCAAGGAGGAAGAAAAGATTCCGAAAACATCGCGACGCGGCATTGAAGCACTGGCCCGAGTGGGTCTGGTGGCTGCATTTGTTACTGTTGTGACTTTGCTCGGTGGGGGATATTATGTGATTCGTATAGTGATGCGAGTATTTTTTTTCCAAGATCAGATATCAATAGGATGTTGTATCCGTGTGCGTTGTATTTGTATACATCCGAACCGTTATCGTACCTTCATCGCCCCACTATGACGTTATTGACCCCGGAGAACTTGAAACTGAAAGAGTAGCACACTCCCAGTTAGACTACATTGAAACACAGCATAGATCACTACAGATGTGGTGTCTCTTATGCAGCAAGGTATATGAAACAACTTACTATCCCTTCTTATCACCACTACCGTCACTACAAAAAATACTACAAGTTCTACCCACCCTCAACTAAGGAACAACTCAGTTTCATATGCAATAATATCATATCATTTCATTTCATATCATAATAACAACCACAACAACAACATTATCCCCATCCCACATCTCCATCCTCACACATCTTCACTCGAGAAGCCGGTGGTAAAACGACAGTAGCGAGTGTGTCCGTAGACATCGAGAACATCGATTTTACTTCTAAACAACACAAAACCCCATTAGCACATGCACATCACATAACCAACCCACAAAAGCGGTCCTAGGAATGTCAAACATACTCCACACTCCTTGCAAGAGCACGACTGTCCACAAGTGCAGGAACTCGGTCCGCTGCAACCGCAAGTGTTTCCGGATCCGCAACCGCAGCCCATATTGAAGATTATTAGAGTTCGGGTAGGTAAGGTATAAAAATTAAAGTAGAAGTGGTTGGTCTGGTCTTGGATGGTGCAATATCTTTGTCTTCTGAATGGTTGAATAAGACGAAATGAGAACCTTGGGGGTGAAAGCGTTCCAGCTATATATAGGTAGCTTTGCTCTGCCGGATGGCGGGGTGGAGGGGGAGGGGGTTTCGGTTGAGGGATAAAGTCATCATGAGGTCAGGTGCACCCTTCCCCCCGGCCGGCACAATTAGGGAAGCGGAGCGGAGCGGTTCGGGTTGGTTTAACTTATGTCATTATGAGATCGGGGAGGGTAGTTGTTAGTCATTGGATGATGGATGGGCCTCGGATATGATTTGTAGGGTTACTATAGGTGAGACGGTGTTGAATTGAGAGGGTGTGGTTGGATCTTGGATACTATACTGCTGAGATATTTGGTGGGTTGTGTTTTACTATATCTGGTGTTAAGTAGGTAGTAGTATAGTATATGTTAGTAGGCCAGAGATTCTATTTGGGCGTATAGCAATGCACATGTTTCTTTGACTCTGACATCCGGTTTCGATGGTTACAGTGGCTGGTCTACTACGGTCTAGTTCCCAGTTAATGTCAGATCTGGCTGTTGCTGGTTTCGGCTCTAACCTGGCCGTCACGGATGCTGTTCCCGTTAAATGGGATTTTAGGGGATAAGCTTAATTCTATGCCACTAGTAATGTGGATATTAGGGTGACTGTTGAGGTACTAGATTCCTCTGTTGTTGGGTTGGGTTGCCGCATAATGGAAAATATACCAGTGTTCTGCACATTTTCATATTCACTGCACGACTCCACTGACTGATTCACACTAAACCAGGTGCTCATGTGGACCTGTGCATATACACTGAGGTCAGAAAGTGTGATCCGACCCCAGGGAGCTGTTTGTTCTGAAGAATACCGGCCTCCTGGAACAAAGAACGTTGAAACGATGTAAATCCCTGACCCGCGATTTCGACGCCAGCCCAGAAATTCATACTTTCGGAGGAGTCGATCATATCATTCCAAACCCCTGGCTAGATCCATCAACTGTGTATGGGCGCTATGTGTCGTGGAAATTGAACTTTATATATGGCCATCTAACAGGAATAAGTGAAGGCCGTGATAACCGCCATGAATATGCGATAATCAGTTACTAGTGCGGAAAATAAGCGCCACAATCAAACACAGCGTTAGGCGGGCCTCAGCAGTAGGCAGGATGCGTCAAGTAGTATGCCCCTGAAAGCCTCGTAAGTCACGTCCTTCGGTTAGAATACGGGCGTTTGAGACCTTAACGATGCATTGGTACTTGACTGAAGCCAATACATCTTGAAAGCAGCGGTGAAGAACGCCCGGCACAAGTAATAAACCTAGCAAAGTATGGCATCTGGCACCGTTTCAGGTACTAGCAGTATCCACCAATCTGATTGACCCCCGAGTGCTAACAGGGGCGTCCTTGTGCCCAAGCTTGGTTAGCTCAGAGAGACATGAAGACAAATGTACTAAGAGGTGCTCATGCAACTGCGGGGAACCTGGTCCCACACTTGAACAAACCATTTATTTGGCTGCCAGACCTCCCTACCCTAAGCTTCCCATCCCGGATAACTGCAGGCTTGGACTGTGAGTTCAGAAAATGCAGAGTTAGAGTCACGTCTGGAAGATGTCGCACGGTCCTAGAGGCATTTATCTGGAACATGGTGATGCGCAAGGGAATTGCATCCGATGGGAGTCTAATGAGGTCTGGGGCCACACTCACCAACAGCGTCTAATCGACATACCCACTTGGGTCTTTTCCAGTGGTACCAAATGGCATGCCTCCACAGTGGGTTGCTTACTTAGTTGGGGTTGGGTACATGTCTTAGTAGGCTGTGGCGTTATTGGGCTGCATGGCATACCGTGCTGTAGTAGTTGCGAAGTCCGTGCCTCCATGGGTAGATGGTTAGAGTATGAGAGGAGATAAGGGTGTGTTAAGAAGAGGATATTAAGAAGTCCCTAAGCTTGGAGCGCCCCTGACACTGACATGGGAACAGCTCATTTGATGTGTTCCGAGTGTAATGTGCAGGTGATATAGACTAGATTAGGTGGCAGTGATGATCTGGGATCCAATCCCGCCAACCGTTGGGCCATGCCCCTTGGATAACCGCTGTTCAGTTCTGATAATCGGGGATGGTGTCATTATCGGAATCGCCCTTGTCAGCTGCTCTGGAACCGATCGGAGAAGAACTCAGGTGATGTGCGTGAATTCAAGATCAACCGGGTTGGGGAACCCCATCTGTTCTACGATGTGCACTTGAAGGCTTAGAGTGTCCAGGGGAGGGAAGATCACCGCGGGAAGAGACAAGAGAAAAAAGAAATATATAAGAAAAACTTAAGAAGCGAGAAAAAGGAACAGACAGGAAGAGAGACAATCACAGCTGGAAAAGAACCCAAAGAGGATGAGTGCAGGAAAAGCCACTGTTTTCTTCTTTTTCTGATAACCTTTGGTCAGTATCGTCATACGGTATTGTATCATCGTCATCATTAATCGTCAGGATCGATAATTGTCTCGACTCATCCATTGTAAACACCTACTATACACCGTAGAGTCTGAAATTATCCCAAATTTGTACTGCAGACTATGGCGCTATTTGGACAAGGATCCAAAGGACAAAAGTAGAATTATCTATCAATCGACACAGTAGGGCTCGGGCAGGGCGTGGTTGGAAGGGCGAAACCGCGCGGTAGGATTAATCGATGGGGGAGAGGATTGGATTGTCGGGACTGCTTGCTTGGCCCCACGGCCACAGGAAAGAGTAAGACCAGCCGCCGATGTTGCTTCGACCTCAACTGAACTTCCGTTCTTCCAGCTTCCTGCTATCTACCACCTACTGCCCCCCCACGCTTGATTCTACCGGCCATACGCTCTCGCTTGACTCTGTTACTCCAAGTTTCCTTCGACTCTACTTCGCTCATCCCTATCTGCTCCTGAACACAGTCTGTACCGCCTCTCCTACTCCTTGTCCTTTATCCCCGACAATCGGTCGTCTTTCCCCGGATCTGATCCTAGTCCGATAAGACCTCCGCCCGACGACTGCACCAACTACCCAGTCCATCCATCTTACAGTGCAGGAGCTGACCAGAACCTGATACCTCAGAGCCTTCGCCGATATCGTTTTACCCAAGCACAGTACATTGATCGCCCACCCAGTTGCTCAACGAGCTTCCTACCCAGTGAAACGAGCCTCGGCGAGTATCAGTGACCCGCCGCTGATATAGGTCTGCTCTCCTGGTTCTCCTACAGAGCCAGGCGGAAGGGCAGATCTGAACGTTTTCGAACTGGCAGACAATCATCCCTTCTATATACCCTCCTCCGCCGCTCCCGACCACCCTGACCCTCCTATCCCCCGCCAGTCTTCAGCGTCCCGTCCACTCACTTCCGCTCCGGGCGGCCCTTCCCCGTTTCTCCTCCAAAGACCGACAGCCAACTACAACTACGGTACAGTGGGCGCTCTCGGAAACCCACATTCATCCCCTGCTCGTCGACGGCGCCGTAGCAGCACACCGGATACGCCCGAACACACTTTTGAGGGAACAGGAGGTTTCGCGGAGGATCGCACGGCAAGCGAGGCCAGGTCTCGAACATCCAGCAGTATTCAGTCACGCGCCCCATCAGAGGGCCCCGAACCGTACCCCAAGCGCAGGCGCCTGGCAAATATGCGCCCGGATGGCATTTCCAGTACAAACGGCTCCTCTCATACGTTGAATGGCTCGAATGCATCCCCGTCTCAGAAGGCAGCTTTCGCCCACTCTCTGAACGGCCAAACGAGTTTCACAGCCTCCAACGGAGACGTACGCACGAATGGCTCTCAAAAAGCGTCAGTTGGCCCTCCGTCATACTATGGTCATGACCGAGAAGAAGTTACCAGGATCTTGATTCAAGCCCTGTTTGACCTTGGCTATGATGGGGCCGCGACGCTTCTAAGCAAGGAGAGTGGGTATCAACTGGAGAGCCCAGCAGTTGCTACGTTTAGAAATGCGGTGTTAGAGGGCCGATGGACCGAGGCGGAACATATACTGGTGCAGTCATTCTATCCGGATCGAGGTGGTTGGAGGAGTAATACCGGCGAGCAAGCGACGAATAGGGAGAAGCTGGTTTTGGTGGAAGATGCTCAAAAGAACGAAATGCTTTTTTACCTGCGACAGCAAAAATTCCTCGAATTGTTGGAAGCCCGCGATTTGGCGGCGGCCCTAATTGTTCTGAGACATGAACTGACACCGCTGAACTATGACATAGGACGGTTACACGCCCTGTCCAGGTGAGCACACCATGCTGACAAGCTCTCGCGGCACCACCGTGAGTGAAACTGACTTTCATGCTAGTCTACTCATGTGCCCCCCGGAACATCTCCACGACCAGGCCGGCTGGGACGGTCCCATAAGCTCTTCCCGAGAACGCTTGTTATCGGAATTGTCTCGTGAGTCCCCAAAATCAACGTTCGGAGCTGTAACGGTGCATACCGCTAACAACCTACCAGGGTCGATATCCCCCTCTGTAATGATTCCGGACAATCGTCTTGCTATTCTGCTGGATCACGTCAAACAAACACAGATTAACCAGTGCTTATACCATAATTCCGCATCACCTCCCTCATTATATTCAGATCATATGTGTGATCGCAAAGACTTTCCTTTGCGGACCGGGATTGAGTTGAACCAGCATTCCGACGAGGTATGGTGGTGCCAGTTCTCGAACGACGGGACGAAGCTGGTCACTGCCAGCAAAGATCAGACTGTAATCATTTACGAAACCAGCACCTTCTCTGTGATACAGAAGCTCTTGGGTCATGAGGATGGTGTTGCACAGTGTGCATGGAGCCCGGATGACTCGAAGATCATTACCTGTTCTCAGGACAAGACCGCCCGCGTATGGAGCGTTGAGGTACAGTGACCCCTTTTCGTGTTGGAGGACGGTGTTTGTGCTGACAGTTGGCAAAGACTGGTCGTTGCCTTCTGACCATCAATCACCACCGTCATCCCGTGACAGCTGCGGCGTGGGCTCCTGATGGCGAGTCTTTCGTAACGGCGGCTCTGGACGTGAGCTCGCAACTCTGTCATTGGGGCATGCGTGGACAGACCCTATACATGTGGCCGGAAGGCTTCCGCGTCCAAGACTGTGCTATCACGCCCGATGGCCGGAGACTTATCGCGGCAGACCTCGATCAGAAGGTCCACGTCTACAACCTTGCGACCCGCGATGAAGAATACTGTCTAGCCCTGAAAAGCAAGCCAACCTCCGTCGCTGTTAGCAGGGACTCCCGTCACATGTTGATCAACTCCGCCGACGGACAAATACAGCTTGTTGACATCAACACCACAGACGTTGTACGTCGATTTTCAGGGCAGAAACAAGGGCATTTCGTCATTCGCAGTGTCTTTGGTGGTGCGGCGGAAAACTTTATTGTCAGTGGAAGTGAAGGTGAGCATCATACACACATTCTCACCTTCTTTGGTTAATATGTCCCTAGATTCTCGTGTTTATATCTTCCACAAAGAAGCTGGCACACTTGTAGAGGCATTAGAGGGGCACGTACGAGGATGTGTAAATTCCATGTCCTGGAATCCTCGAGACCCAGGAATGTTTGCTTCTGCTGGCGACGACTGCTTGGTTAGAATGTGAGCACCGGCCCCGTCAATTCCTCCCTCCACCCAGATAGTCTTTTGACTGACAGTTCTCTAGTTGGACACGTGAACGTGACATAAGGCCGAATGTTTCAGCGGGCAAGCACAGGGCAGTATCGACAAGTGGTTTCACTCGCACTAGCGCTCTGCGTTCAACATCAAGCTTCAATTAGTGCTCCCGTTTCAGGAGTAGCAGGCAATCCCATATAGTCTATACATACTTGGAAGCAGCTCCAGCTTAAACATCTCTCGCATTCACTCCGTCCGCTTTCTCCCTCTTCTCTACTCCGAACCCAACTGCTCCCGTTTATTCACTCCACCCTGCATATACGCATTTTTGCTGGCTCATCGTCAGTGATCCATTTAATACAGGTTGCAGGCGCCGCTGCTTTTGGTACAGATCAATATATGCTTTGCATCAATTTCATGGTTCTCTTTCTTGTCCTTCCGCACATTCATCATTACCATCCCCGGCGCGCCTGCCATCAGTGCCGTAATAAGCCACTGCACCAAGGCATGGCGTCCCTATCCATTATATCATATTCCATCCCACCCCATATTCTTACATATTATAAAGACTTCAACGTTTACGGTTAATGGTCTGTTTGTCATTGTCGTTACTGTCCACCCGTTGGGTCGTGAATCATGCCAGGTTTTCAGGGACTACTTAGGAGTGTGCTTTGGTGTCATGTTCACGTTTGTTTCTTTGTGCGTTGCGTATCGGAGTCCTCTCTGCTTTTGTGCTCAAGAGGTCATCGAGTTCATGTTTGCTTCTCGCTACCGCTACTTGGCTTGATCTGGGGCTGACTGCCTCTCTCTCTCTGTATCTTCTGAGGTTGGAAAGTTGGCTGGTGGTAGTGGTAGTAGAGTATGCATCTGATAATCGAAATATTTGCTTGGGTACTATCGACTGACTGATTGATCTACTCATGTGGTGAATGTAGACCAGAACGGGCAAGTGCTACTAGTACTGGATACTTGCATGAGAAAGTGGGATGAAATAAAATGGATATGGATAAATGTACTTTTGAGGGATGTAAATATGGCCAGTCAGACTAGTATAGACAGACCACACAAGACTCTTGAACGTTGCTATTTCCACTCGATCGTAATAATAAGAGTAAACTCCAAACATAGCATGTAAACCCCGGAACAACTCAAACGCCAGAAGGAATATTCAAAGGTAAATAGATAAAGTAAAGGGGTGAAACGTGGCCAGCCTGACTGGATCTACGTCAGTTGACTGGCATTGGCGTCGTAGACAATCATCTACTCGAACAACACTGGCAAGGTGTCAGACTCGGGTAATATCGACCATTGGGATGTGACAGGAACTAACCAATTTGATATTTTTCCCATTTCCTCCACGCAATTCTCCGCCCCCTCATGGTACACTGAAGCGGTGTTTTGGGCCTTTTGTCCACCTTGTTCATTTGTATAGGGAGGGAGCGAGGCATAGGTACTCTTAGGACGCGCGAGCTTGATGCCAGGTGATGACTCGTAAGTGACCATATTTAAGAATAGATTGATCGATACGCTAGGCATAATTATATCGCTTATGACAGAAGATCGGCAACTAAGAACTTAGGTTAGCTATATCTGAGCTTCATGATGCAGATGGTTTCGACATACCATTCATGGGCATCTCGTCAATCTGGGTGGAGTAGTAAAGTTCAATGTCGCGGAGGATGCGCACGTCATCGCTGGTGACGAAGTTGATGGCAACACCCTTACGTCCGAAACGACCACTACGACCGATACGGTGGATGTAGTTTTCACGGTTGGTGGGCAGATCGTAGTTGATGACCAGGGACACCTGCTGCACGTCGATACCACGAGCCCAGACATCGGTGGAGATAAGCACACGGGAGTTGCCCTGGCGGAAATCCTGCATAATGCTGTCACGCTCCTTCTGGGGCATTTCACCGTGCATGCTGGACACGGTAAAGTTGGCTTCGCGCATCTTGTCGGTGAGCCAGTCGACCTTGCGACGGGTGTTGCAGAAGATGACCGCCTGGGTGATCGTCAAGGTATCGTAAAGGTCGCAAAGGGTATCGAACTTCCACTCTTCCTTCTCCACCGCAATGAAGTACTGCTTGATGCCTTCGAGGGTCAATTCGTCACGCTTGACCAAGACACGCACGGGATCGGTCATGAACTTGGTTGTCATATCGAGCACATCATAGGGGAGGGTAGCGGAAACGACGACGACTTGGGTGGCAGGAGGAAGGTAGCGGTAGACATCGTAAATCTGTTCACGGAATCCACGGTTGAGGAGCTCATCGGCTTCATCGAGAACCAGCATCTTGATGTGACGGGTGCGCAGATGGCGTCTGCGAATCATATCGGCGACTCTGCCCGGGGTGCCCGAAACGACATGCTGACCGTAGTCAAGCTTCCTAATATCCTCTCCAATATTCGTGCCTCCGATGCAAGCGTGGCATTGAACGTTCATGTAATCACCGAGGGCCATAATGACGGACTGAATCTGGGTGGCAAGTTCACGAGTGGGGGAAAGGACGAGGGCTGTTATGTGTGAGATTACAACCACCACTTGCGATTAAGCGCATATTACATACCTTGAGATTCGCGGACGACGGTATCGATGACCTGGAGGATACTGATCGAGAAGGTAGCAGTCTTACCAGTACCGGATTGCGCCTGGGCAATGGTATCCCGACCTTTGCAGATCTGAACAATGGCACGGGACTGGACAGCAGACGGAGACTCATAACCATAAGCATAGATACCACGGAGAAGGCTCTCCTTCAGGTGCATGTCCTCGAAGGTAGGAGCAACAGTGACCTCCTTCGAGGTGTTGAACTCCATGCGGTCTAGTTTTGCGCAGTCAGTATACGGGCGTCAATGACAATTGGGGACTTTTGAGGTCCTACCATCAGCGCGTCTGTCAATTCCGTCCGCCATGTTGAATACGCCGGTCTGTAATTTAAAGTAAAAGGATGAAGGAAAACAGAATCAAGTTAGTGGAGGAGGGGAGCTGGCCTGGTGGAGTAGCAGAAGAATCGCCCAGCATCTGCGGCGCGACTTTTCGTTGCGACCGAGGTCTCACCGCCCGCCGCACGTGACGATAGCTCGCCGCAAAGCTCTCTTGGATGGCGTTGAGATGCCCGCTTCCCATCCCCGATCTTCGAAAGCGCTTCAATCTGCAGAAGACAGGTAGAGCCTTGTGCGCACAGCAATAATGATTTTCGAGGAGCAAAGGTTTATTCACGAGGACCTTGAGCGCCTGGAGCAGGCGATTGCGGACCGCGTCGCCGAAGAGCCTCGTAATGTAAGTAATCCATCGGTTTCTATCCCGTCGCCCTCTGCTAACTCATTCTTTTACTTTCAGATTCGCGATCGCCTGGCTCGTGACCATGAAGTCGCACATTTTTTGAAGCGTATCGAAGACCAATCCAAGAGGTTGCTCGACATCTACAAGGATGCGGACGGCGCGCGTGAGAAGGAAATCCAAACCATCTCAACCGGCGATCAATTCGAGGAATTCTACAAGCAACTGGATGAGATCAAGGACTTCCACAGGCGCTATCCTAATGAACCAGTCGAAAACCTTGAGCGGGCTTATAAGCGCCGTCAGCCTGGAGAGGGGGAAGTAACGGGAATGGAGATCGACAATCTGTTCACTGGTGAAGAGGGTTATGGGCAATTTCTGGACCTCACGACATTGCACGAAGACTACCTGAACTTGCCTGGGGTAAAACGGCTCTCATATGTACAGTATCTCGACATCTTCGATGCGTTTACTCCTCCGCAACTTCCGATCAAGCGAAACAATAAGATTTCCGATCGGTATTTCAAATATGTCGGCGAACTCGCAAACTACTTGGAAAGCTTCATTAAGAAGGTGAAGCCGTTGCAAGATCTGGACAAACTTTTCGCTAGCTTTGATGAGGAGTTCGAAAGGCAATGGGCGGCGAACGAGGTCCCTGGCTGGACAGAGGAGGCTGCTCAGAACGGTACCCAGGGTCCGAAGACCGAGGGCTCCGGAGAAGGTATCTGGTGTGCTGACTGCGAGAGGGAGTTCAAGAATGAGAATGTCTACAAGAACCACCTGACAGGAAAGAAACATATCCGGGCCGCTGAAGCACGCAAAGCCGCCGGGGATGACGCAAAGCCAGCAGCCCCTGCGACAAACGGCACATCATCCGTGGCTCATCGACTCAAGGAACGTGCAGTCGCTGAGAGAGAACATCGGGTGCGCTCTTTGACGCAGGTACTGCAGCCCGAGCGTCAAGCAACGAGGTTCAATGTCGAGCGGAGACAGGGTATGACTGAACGGGAGCGCCAGATGGAACTTGAAGCTCTGCTTAATGAGTCCGAGAACCCTGGCGGTGATCGTGCTGGCGATCAATCTGACGAGGACGACGAAGACCGAATCTACAATCCCCTCAAGCTGCCACTTGCTTGGGATGGCAAGCCAATTCCTTACTGGCTTTACAAGCTGCACGGCCTTGGGGTGGAGTATCCTTGCGAGATCTGCGGTAACTTTGTTTATATGGGTCGTCGTGCGTTTGACAAGCACTTCTCGGAGGCTCTACATATCTTTGGTTTGAAGTGTCTTGGTATCACATCCAATACCAACCTTTTCCGTGAGATCACTCGGATTGAGGATGCAATCAGGCTTTGGGAGAAGCTAGAGCAGGACCGCAAGAAGGACAGAGATAACCGCGACAATGTGGTACAGATGGAGGATGCTGAAGGCAATGTGATGCCGGAGAGGATCTACCTTGAGTACGTGCACCCAACAATCCCACGATCTATTGGAACTTTTACTAACAATTACCAGTCTGCAAAAGCAAGGTATCCTATAATCGGCGACCCCGGGTCAACCTTTCTTCATGTTTTTTTGCATTGCCTTTCGCCATATTTCATATTGAAAAGCCTGGAGTTTGGTGGGTGTCCTTTCTCGAATTTTCTTAATGCTGCGTGGTTTGGGATAGTGTTGGTTGGGAAATGGCTGTATCAAAGCAAAGTCAACACTAGACAGCTTTGCTTTTATGTATTCTACACCCCAAGAATATTACGATATCATCATCGGAGAAATTAGAAGCCAAAATCTCAATATGATCCAACTTTGGCTCGCATCACGTGGTTTCGCGTCCCGTTCGCGTAGCTTCCAGTTCAATTTTGTGCCCCGCGTCTTCCCCCAGTCACACTTGCTTC